GCTACTAGCTACCACTCTGTTAAAATTAGCTTTTAGCTAGCTTTTTGTTACATGTAATTTCTAGCTAATCTTTTGCTATATTTAGTTTCTAGCTAACCATTTACCAGTACTACATTTAGCCATCTCGTTGCTACTTTTAGCTAGGTTTTTTTGGCACTTTCAGCTTCTAGCTAATGTTTTAGTACTTTTTGCTACTAGCTACCACTTTGTTAAAATTAGCTTTTAGCTACATTTTTGCTTTTCTTCAGTTTTTAGCTAGTCTAGTCTTCTCTGTTTTAAGTTTAATAACTCATTTTCAGCTTCTTTATCGGATTTCAGCACTTAAGGCACTGTATTTTAGCAGAATGTGTCATTTCTTTAGTACTAATAATCGTCACTAAAGTCCATCCAGACGGCAGAATACACACGTAAACTTTTGAAGAGTTCAGTTGAATTTTAGCTCAAATTATTCTCCCCAAACTGAATGTGGTCTTTTTAATTTGTCATATCTCCTATAAAACACTGTCGACTTAAAAATCACATCCGCGTTTTGCTGCGGTCAAGTCTTTTAAAGAAAAAACTTGATATATTGTTTCCTAGCGAGTGTGTATTTTGTTTTAATTTATGTTTTTATCCTTCTTAAGAATGCAATCTTATAGTGAGAGACGGGTGTGTGGTTATGGTGATCCGTATAAGCTACTAACAACAGCTTTAACCTTTCTTTTGATCTTCCTTTTTGTTTTTATCGATACATCAAAATGTAGACTTTTTTTTAGCTTATATTATTTTAAATGTATGTTAGACTTTCTCAGAATTTCTTTTAGTTTTTAGATTGTATTCGTCTATGCCTGAAGAGGACAGTCAATGAAGGAAGCGGGAGCTGCACGTTTGATTCTTGCCACTAGAGGGAGCTCTAACTCCTTCATCAAACAGACAGGGAGGAGAAAAGTTTCTCCAGCTGCATCTGAGTCAGAAAAACTCAGTCCCAGTGGCTTCACATTAACTCCTCATCAGTTCTTACACCTCACTGCCCCCCTCCTTTCATTACTTCACCGTGTGAAGGAAAGTTTTATTAAAACAAGCTGCGGATCTGATTTCATTGTTTCTATTTGAAGGAAACACCTCTGTTCCTACATGGGTGCTTTAAAACTTGCATTTGCAGGAAATGTGTGAGCTAATCTGATTTCACCTGCAAATAGTTTGAGATGGGGGATCATTGTTTTGTTGTTTTTCTCCTTAAAACAATAAAGTAGTTCCATTAAATCTGCAGACGATAAGGTAATTATTGCTCCTCCGTCTGATTCTGCTGCCAGGTGACCCCCCTCAGGCTGCAGCGTGGTTGGGTCAATGTGGCGTTTACTTGCTCATCATGGTGCTGGAGAAAGCTGTGATCAGCCTGGTGCTGCTCATTCCTGGATGGTCCAAAGTAAGAAGAATTTAATGTGTAATTATTTGGCTTTGTTCATTTGTTCCATTTGTTTCTAATCATTTTATCTGCCAAGTGCTGAAAGCGGCTCAAGTATTAATTTTGTTTGTTTAAGTTGTGCCTTTTATAAAGAACTCCACCGTCAATTCAACCTGAAATGTAATTTTTTTTAATATTTTGTTTTGTAAATGTATCGTTTTTAGCTAACTTTTCCTGGTTAATGGCAAACTTTTCAACAAAGTTCTCACTTTATAAGCTATTCCTGGGGATGATTCTCAGCTACTACCATCCTAAATTTTGTCTCGGTATGTTTAAAATTGACTGATTTATAGCTGTTTTAGTACTGAAACGATTGAGTTTCATGAAAATCAGTTGAGTGGTTCACGAGATATTTTACTAACAAACACGGTCAAACACTTGCAAAAACATTAGTTTGAATAGAAGCAGAGATTACAATATTCTGGTAAATGAATGTGACCGATGACTCATCAATGATGTAATTATGTTTTTTTTTTCACCTGGTTTAGCTGCAGGAGGTGCTGCTAAGCTACATCGCTAACCCTCAGCTGGAGCTGGCGCTGGTCATGCTCATTGTCCCCTTCATAGTGAACGTAAGCCTCACTTTACTGACCATGAGTTGAGTGTGAGCTCCTCCAGTAAATAACCCAAGCCCCGTGTCTCTTTGGCCTGTTCTGCAGTCCATTATGTTCTGGGTGGTGGACAGCCTGACGATGAGGAAATACAAGACGATGAAGAGCCTGGACGACTCCTACGACAGCTCGGTGAAGAATGATTCTCTGCTGGGGGCAAGTAGTGCGGAGTCACGGGTGAGAAGCAGACTTTTTTTTTTTTTTAAAGTAACTATTAGCAGCCAGGAGGAGTTCAGCATTGTACCATACAGCAGCTACGGTTGTTTCCTGTTTCTGGTTTTTATTCTGTATGGTTTTGGAGTCAGTCTACTTCTAAATACACTGACCAAAAATATAAACTCAACACTTTTGTTTTTGCTCCCAGCTGAACTCAAATATCAAATACTTTTTTCTATTCATCCATTCAATTCATTCAGCCTTTATTTAGACAGGTAAATCCCATTGAGCCTGGAGGACTCATTTACAAGAGAGACCTGATTTTAACAAAGAATGATGACAACAATGGACAACAGCGACAACAATAAACAGTTATAAAAAGTCATACAATTTATTTTATTTTTTTTAACAAATAGGATGGCTAAAAAAAAAAAGAAAAGTAACAAAAACAGCTAGATTCTAAGGCGAATGTAGAAAACTAAAAACAGTAACATGTCTGCATTGGACCCTGCCAAGAGTCCAACAGATTCTTAAAGCCACTTAGAGAGGACAAGGTCGAGAGCTTCAGATCTTTTTGTAAGATATTCCAGGAAACAGGAGCAGAGTAGGAGAAGGTCCTTTTGCCTAGTTCAGTCCTCATTGAGGGAACACTGCAGGTAATAATGTCCTGAGAGCGCACTCCGTAGCTGCACTCATGCAGAGACATGTAGGAGGAGATGTATGAAGGCAGCAGACCAAGAAGTGATTTAAAGATGAAAATGTACCAGTGAGAGAGTCTGCGTGAAGTTAACGATGTCCAGTTAACCAGTGAATACAGGGTGCAGTGGTGGGTACGATAATCACAGCCAGTTATGAATCTTAGTGCACCATGATAGACAGCATCCAACATCTGCAGGGTTCTTGTAGGAGCGTTCATGTAAATAATGTCACCATAATCAATTGAGGGAAGGAAAGTCACAGATACAAGGTGTTTTCTAGCATTCAGGGTTAGACAGGATCTGTTTCTGAAAAAGAAACCCAGTTTAACTTTCAGTTTCTTTATCAAGTTTTCCACATGGAGCTTAAAAGAGAGATGTGAGTCGACCAAGATACCCAAATATTTATAGGAATCAACAAACTCAATCGGGACACAATTTGAGGATAAAATCGGAGGAAGAACTGCTGGGACCAACTTCCTATTTGAAAAAAGCATCCCTTTGGTTTTGTCGGCATTTAGGACAAGTTTGAGGCGGAAAAAATCAGTCTGGATGATGTTGAATGCAGATTTCAAAAGCTGGAAAGCCTTATCAACTGTTTTAGCTCGACAATAAACAACTGTGTCATCAGCATAGAAATGTATGAATGCATTAGGGATGTTTTTACCTAAATTACTTATGTAGATTGTAAAGAGGGTGGGTCCTAAGACTGAGCCTTGTGGTACACCATTGTTGACTGTTAAATAACTGGAGGAAGTACCATTATGTTGAACACATTGCCTCCGATCTGAGAGATAGAGAACCAACCAATGGTGTGTTCTGAGAAACCGATTTCTGAGAGTTTATGACACAAGATGTTCTGATCCACAGTGTCAAAAGCTTTAGACAGGTCTAAGAAAAGTGCAGCACAATAATCCTTAGCATCCAGTGCTTCAACAACATCATTAAGAACCTTCGGTGAAGTAGTGGTTGTGCTGTGTTGTTTCCTGAAACCAGATTGATGTGGAGGTAAGATGTTAAATGAGTCCAGGTAATTTTTGATTTGAGAGTTTATCAGTTTTTCTAGAACCTTGGCTAAAATGCAGAGTTTAGAGATTGGTCGATAGTTGTCCAGTGAGGTTTTTCTATTAACACAAAAAGCCTTTTTCTCTCAAATATTCACAAATTAGTGTAAATCTGTGTTAGCATTTCTCTTTCCATCCACCTCTCAGGTGTGGCACATCAAGATGCTGATCAGACAGCATGATTATTGCACAGGTGTGCCTTAGGCTGCCCATAATAAAAGGCCACTCTAAAATGTGCAGTTTTACTGTATTGGGAAGGTCTGTGGAGTTCAGAAAACCAGTCAGTATCTGGTGTGACCACCATTTGCCTCACGCAGTGCAACACATCTCCTTCATTTAGAGATGCTCAGGTTTGTGGCCTGTTGAATGTTGGTCCGCTCCTTTTCCATGGCTGTGTGAAGTTGCTGGATGTTGTCAGGAACTGGAACATGTTGTCATATACGCCGATCCAGAGCATCCCAAACATGCTCAATGGGTGACATGTCTGGTGAATATGCTGGCCATGCACGAGCTGGGATGTTTTCAGCTTCCAGGAATTGTGTGCAGATCCTTGCAGCATGGAGCCGTGCATCATCATGCTGCAATGTGAGGTGATTACACAAATTTGTGAAGAACATTTGAGCGAAAAATGCTTTTTGTGTTCGTAGACGAAGTCTTTGATCTTTGAGTTCAGCTCATGACAAATGGGAGCAAAAACAAAAGTGTTGCGTTTATATTTTTGTTTAGTATACTTTGGGCTGTTTTAACCATATATAATATAAATATTCATTAAAATGTTTGCATTGATCTGGAATTGTGCACCGTGAGTTTTGGCATTTGTATTTTCCTGTAGATGTCAAAATTTTAACTTTCATCTGCACAAGAAAGACGTTAAAAATACATTGAGATCATTTATTACTTTCAAAAGCTACCTGAAATCTACTTGAGCATATTTGTTACAATTTTGGCACTTTTTGCCCCATTTAGCATTTAGCTACAGTTTTGCGACATTTATCTTTTAGCTACCTATTTGCTATATTTGGCTATGTATTACAGTTTTGCTATTTTTTTTTTGTTTTGCTTTTAGCTACATTAATGGTAATTTTTCCTTACACATATAGTTTTGCCAATTTTTTGCTTTTAGTTATGGTTTCGTTAATTTTAGCTTTTATCTACAAGTTTTCTATGTTTAGCATTTTTTTGCTAATTTGATTTTTCAGCTATGGTTATCATCGCTATGGTCAGCTGTGGAACACAGAATGGCAGGTCCAGCTGTAGGTGCAGGTGTACCCCTTATTGGAAGAAAGACAACAAACACATAAGGATATAAAAAATTACAAATACAAAACAGGTTGAGCAGAGTAACTAAAGACAGCAGCAGAGAGAGGAGATGTGATCTGTTTGTCTTCCAGCAGTCTAAGCCTATAGCAGCATAACTAAGGGATATCTCAGGAAACCCAAGCCAAACCTAACTATAGGATTTATCAAAAAGGAAAGTCTTAACCCCAGTCTTAAAACTGGACAATGTGTCAGCCTCACGGACAGAAACTGGAAGTTGGTTCCACAAGAGAGGAGCCTGATAACTGAAAGATCTTCCTCACATTCTGCTTTTGGAAACTCTAGGAACCGAAAGTAAGCCTGCAGTCTGAGCGCAAAGTGCTCTGTTAGGAAAATATGGAACAATGAGATCTGTAATGTAAGATGGAGCTAGGTTGTTGAGGGCTTTGTAGGTTAGAAGTAAGATTTTGAATTCTATTCTGGATTTGACAGGGAGCCAGTGGAGAGAAGCTAAAACTGGAGAAATGGAACTGTTATCCTGCTGGTTTCTGCACACACCACTTGACCCAGAACGTCTGAAGATTTTGAGTTGATTCTGGTGTGTCTCATCAAATAGCGTTTTTTTTTTGCTTTTGTCATTTAAAATGTGTATGACAGCTGCCTCCACACAGAAGCATGTGTCGTTCGGTTTTCCCCACTTCTCCCAGGAAAGTTCAGGCCTCTCACTGATTGGCTGTGAGGGTGCATGACCTTTGCATGCGATGTAATTAGAGCGGTAACTCCTCCCTCCTCCTTTCTTTCTCCTCAATGTTTGCCAGGCGGCCATAAATCAGCCCTTCATCCCTGGAATAAAAGTGACATTTAGGATTTGTTTCCACACGCTGATGTTATGGAAAGCAGAGGGGGAGCGGAGGAGGACTGCAGACAGTGGGACATTGACTTGTTGGGGTCCTCGGTGGGGGGGTGACCAGAGCTACAGTGGTCATTGTTACCCTTCTTAGGAGACAAACGGTAGAAAGGAAATGATCAGAAGTTGTCCAGACTTTAAACCCCCTGTCATTTATTATCACTCGCTGCCATGAAAGGTGGGTGATCATGTAAGCGTCTGTGTTAGCAAAATATCTTCTGAAACACTAAATGAATTTAAATCAAACTCTCAAAGTTATCATTGGATATACAGCTCATTTACACAGTTGCAGATGAGAATGCAACAGCGAATGGACCTCAGCAAACGCACTGAGCTAATATTTGGTGTGGTGGTAGCTGAGTCATCCTCGAGACGTACTTTGAACGCTAGCAGCTCGTGCGAGATTTTCTTTCTAAACTGTGTCGTTAAGTTCAAGTTCGTGGCTCTTTGTCATTCGCATCACGTGCGGTACATGAGGTGGAATGAAATTGTGTACTCAAGGTCCCAGTTCCAACCAAAAACAGCAAAAATATAAAGTATAAAAAGAAACTGTAGATAAGGATCTAAGATATATCTTAGTGTATAAGCTAAAACGAACGCTAAAACAGTGGTTCCCAACCCTGGTCCTTGAGGGACACCATCCTGCATGTTTTAGTTGTTTCCTTGTTTTGACACATCTGATTTGAATCAATGGATGACTAACAGACTTTCGTGGAACTTGATGACGTAATTAAATCACTGAATCGGGTGCGCTGGAGCAGGGAAGCGACTAAAACATTCGGGATGGTGTTCCTCAAGGACCAGTGCTGGGAACCACTGTGCTAAAAGATCTGACATACGCTAAACACTAATAATGTAAAATAATACGGTATGTTAAACAGCAGCCCGAACATGAGTCTGTAGTGAGCAGATGGGTATGAATACAGGTCATAAAGGCAAGAGATCAGCAGCATGATATAATCAGCAGATCATCATTGTTTGTTAGCAAAATATCTCATGAATCACCGGATAGATTTTTAGTGGACCTTACTGTTTGGATTCAACCCAATTCAAGATGGTTGCCGTAGCTAAATGACCTTGAACTCCGACCCAGACACAGATATTGCGCTAACATTTGAGTGATTTTAAAATCTGCCAGAATGGATTTATGGTATTCGGTTGAGCAAATACATGTTTATCTGCCACTCTGTGCTTCCTCTCTGCTGTGCTGATGCTCTGCTCGTATGCAACCTGTAACCGTGGCAACTATAGAAGTGCCAAGAAAATTATCCCGTCTGGAGACTTTCAGAGCTAAATTACAGTTATGTCTTGGGGAGTGGTGGCGCAGAGGTTAGAGAGGTGGGCTTGTGATCCGAAGATCGCCGGTTCACGTCCCGGCCCCGACAACATCAAAAAAATTTTGGGTGGGGTAGGTGAAACACCCACACTTGCCCCCACCCTCATTCGCCCCACTCTGGGCCCATGAGCAAGGTCCTTAACCCCACCATGTGCTCCCTAAACAGGTCTCTCTTGAAAATGAGTTCTCGTGGCTCAATGAGACTAACCTGGATAAATAAAGGCTAAATGAAAAAAAAAAAAAAAAACAGAACATGTTTTGAAGCAACTTTTTATTAATTAATATTTATTTACTTATTAATGCCAGATGGCACCAAAAAAAAAAAAATTTAGATGCTAGAACAGGGCTATTCAACAAAACTGCTCAGGGGGCCACAGTTTCTGAAAGCCCGCAGCTCGGGGGCTGGACATCCAGCAATTAAAGTCATTATGTAAATAAACCACAGTTTACAATGATCTGTTGCCTTTTAAATTTGTTTATTTTATTGCATTGAATCATAAATGCAATAAACGGAACCCTTTTTTTTAATGAAGTGGGCTGGATTTAAGTCACCCACGGGCCGGAATTGGCCCGCAAGCCGCCAGTTGAATAGCCCTGTGCTAGAAGCTCATCTCATCATGTGAAAATACGTGCCTACGCAAAAAAAATACATAGTATTAATGGAATAAATTAGGGAATAGAAATAAATAATGCTTTCTAATCCAGTGTTTATGCGTCAAAATCTCCTTTGCGTCTCATTTCTTGCACAAACTCCGTATCTAACTCCGAAGTTTCCAGCGTTTTCGCTGCAGGCGCTCGTTTCTCCTTCAGGTGAGTGCGTGGAGTTTCTAAAGCGCCGTCACTCAAGAGACTCTCTGTCCTCAGGTCCTGTTGACGGCGGAGACGGACTCGGAGGAGGAGGAGCAGGAGGCGGAGCCGTGCGTCCACGTCCAGTATTCAGGCGGACCACTGAGACCCAGCTGGGTGATGGTGTAAACCCAGGTGACCTCCGTCCACAGCGTGTCTTTATCTCAAACTAAAAGGGTGAAGCAGAGGCCGTGTAAACTTTTTCTTTTTTTTTTTTTTCAAAAACAGGCACCTAAAGCTGCAGTCTGTGTGGAGAGAAATTAATTAGATCAAAGGCAGCAGGACGATGTGAAGACTTTTTTTTTAGGTGGCTTTTGGAAAAAGGATACTCCGAGAGGATTTTACAATATTCCAAAGAGAGCCAGAAGAGGACCATATGTATTACGAAGGGAAATAACCACTATCAAGACGTTTTTGTTGAGGCGGTATTAAAATCATTCCTGCATGCTCTCCTTCAGACTGCATGGCTTTAGTTAGAGAAATGATCCGGTGTTGGTCAGTAAAGACAAAAAGATTGCACTAGTCATTTAGGGAGAATCATACATTTAGAGAAAATGCTTTACAGGATAATAAAGTTACAGTATATTGAGAATATTTGGGCACATCAGAGTGACTCTCAGCTACTCTCCTTTTTATCACTTTGCACTATTTGATTATTAAACAGCACAGAAATGTCATGGATGTACGCCTCAGCGTAATCTTTAGGATTTAATGTTAGCGTCTGCAGAAAGCCATCCCATGCGCTCCGGCCATAACTGCAACCACTCGAAGGTTTTACGTTGATAGTTGTGTTTGCATAAGAGTCGTTCTGTCTCGTGTTCATTGTTCCTCAGTGTTGTCGTCGTTTTTGTTCGCACGCCTTTGACCAAAACGACAAACTTTTTTAGCTGCAAAAATCCAATACGGTGCACATGTTGTAAGCAAAAACAATCATTTATTTATTCTTCGTCCAAATCAAAAAACCGTTGCAGAGGCCTAAACATTACAAGCTACTATCCGTTTTATTTATCAGCTGAAGATCGCATCTAGTTTAGCTTTTTCCAAATTCCTTGCAGATTCTGCCTGAGTCCGATGCTCTGCAGGTTCTATAATTTACTACAAAGTAATGTCTTTTTTTATTTATTTACCTGATTTGTCACTTTATGACACTATTATGACAAATGTTGGGATTTTTTTTTGTTTGATTTTGAGTTTTCAGATTAAAGTCAAAATGTTATTTTCAAAATAAAGTTAAAATGGCAAGTTATTTTATATTAAAATTGAACTAAAAATTATTTTTTTTGGTGCAGAAACCTATAACGGCTGTCTTGTGTAATTTAAAAAAAAATTATGAATTAAATATATGTTTTGAGCAGAAACATCTATAAACAACCTGTAGACTAAATAACTTCTCAAAATTCCCTGCAGTTAGTTGGAGTTTTACCGGAGAACAACAATAATAACAATGTCAGCTGGTTTTAAAACGTTCATATGATTTAAGTATATTCAGAATATTACATCTACACCAGCAGCATTTGAGCTCATCGCTCACTTTATTTGTTGGAGGCTCTTATTTTGAAGGAATCTGTGACTTCTGCTGTGCAGTGATGAAGGCTAGTTCAAGAAAGAATTCATGTGAGTTTGTAGCAGACTGTTTTATTTTTATTAACATTAAAGCAAAGGATTCTGGGATTTTCCATAAAAGCCCAGAATCGTTTGCTTCAAATGTTAATAAAAATAAAACAGTCTTCTTTAGGAGGAAATTAGGATTTGTTTCCTCGTGCTTGACTTGAAACACTATTTGGACTTTTTCCTCAATATTTAGACGTATTTAAATTTTTTTTTTTTTTGTTGAAATTTTCAACTTTCATCCTAATATTTTAACTTTAATCTTGAAACTCGGAAACAAACAAAATAAAATTTTTCCTTATTTGCCACTATATTCCAAAATATGTCCGATTATATATATTTTTTAATTAAAAAAAACTACTGTTTTAAACTCATTATGAGCCACATCATTATAAAAATTAGTTTAAATTAATCTGACAGTTCTGTTTGTGATTCCACATCCACTAAATTATAATTCTGGAGGTAGAATTTTATTTTTGTAAGAGTTCAACCTGAGTCTAATAATGAATTTCTTCAGTGTTGTAAGGTTTCTTTAAAAGTCGCAGTCGTAAAGTCACCTGGCCGGTGTAAAGATGTATCAGCCATGTATTAAACTTTGTTGCACATTTTATGTATTCAACCTCTACTTTACGCTCCAGTCCGTGGTGTAGTTTGTAACTTTTGAAGGGGAAATCTGACATTTTTATATTCGATTATTTCCATGTTATTGTTGATGTAAACGTTTAAAGCTCTACTCTGATGTGTTTTATTTGTATCGAGTTTTTTTAATTAACCAAACTGAGTGAAACGCTCCGTGCCGCGAGGTGCCTGGCTGTAAACTCCTACGGTGCTGCTCGCCGAATGTATCTCTTCTCTCTGTACTTGAATAAAGATGATTGACACGTGAACGGGTGTGCGGTGGTGAATTCCTGCGGCGGCCGGGGCGAGGCAGCGCGACGACAGACGACCTGAGCGCACCTGCGCGGGTGTGCGCCGCAGCCCCGTGACCTCCGGCTGATGGCACAGAGCTGCGCTTTTAGCTCCGCGTCAGGACGAGGGGCTTAGTTGCTGGTCTCCATGGCAACCAGGTGTGATCCGCCACCTGACAGGCTGACGTCAAGGTTTGGTGTGTGAGAATAAACACAACTGGAAAGCTTTTTAGAATCATAAATAAACCTAAAAATGTGGTTTTAAGGGTTTTATTTACTCGCATAAAATATTTAAAAAAATCATTTAATAAAAAGACATTTGCATTTAATTAGAAAAAGTACAAAAATATATTTAAAAAGGACCAATAAGATAGATTTTTGTCTTTCTGAATGCAGTAATTGTTTAAAACTTTTAAGTGAATTAGTTACATGTTGATATTTTAGCTTGGGACCGTCTCACACTTTATTAGTCCCGTGGTGTCCCGTGTCAAACATGTGAGTCGTTACGTAGTCCTCGTACTGTCCGTCAATCAGCTTGGCTGCGTTGTTTCGTGCAAACCAGCAGTCCACGTTCTGCGTACCGCTGTAGATCCTCCTGCTTTTGCGGACCACTGGCACCGAGCGGTCCTTCACCTTCAGGACCTGAGAGGGCTTCGAGTCGCCCTGTGCAGGAAGCTCAGCCAGTCCTACTTCCTCCGACAGGAACTGACCTGAAAGTAGAACAAAAAAATGGAGGATGGAGTTATTTTGGTCTCACATTTCAAGTGTTTATATTCCAGCTGTTGTCTGACGATTAGACTGATAATCATTTAAAGAATAATAGGAGGATATTTTTATAATACAAGCACATGCCCTTAACAAATAAAGCTATATTCCTAGTTTTGACTTTAAATGTTTATTAAAGCAAATTCACCTAAATAAAATGCTTAAACTGGACGGTCGTTAAATCCTACTTTTTACATTATTTAAACTGTTTTTTTCTCCTTTATATTCACAGTGTTATAGTTTTACCAGGTCTATAGTTTATACCTTTTGTTGCTTCATTTAACTTCATTTACTTATATGTTGGGGAATTTTTGGTCAAATGAGTGTTTTTTTACTACTATGGCTGAGAATGTTAACTTTGCCCATGGACCATATGTTTGGGTTAGTAGAAAGCTGAATGAGGAGTCGGGTGAGGCTGCAGTGTGCAGCTGTTGCTCCAAGGTCACCTCCGAGTCTGTGAGCTCGGCTGGACTGATAAGAGTATAAAAACAAGCTGCACACACTGCCCCAGGGCATTGTCGTAGCTCATCGTTCTGGTTTCATTAAGACTTGTTGTAGATGCTGATGGCTGTGGGCAGGAAGGATCTCTTGTAGAAGTCCGTCCCACAATGGATTCAAAGAAACTGGCTGCAGATGTCGATCCGTCGGTCCTGTATGCCAGGCAGAACTCCACCCCCATGAGCAATGGCCATTTCTTCCATCCTGCCAAACCCGTCGTCGCCGTGGACTTAACTGCAAGTGCCGGGGGACGATCTCGTACCTCCCGCTGTCACGAGCCACGTTTCCCCACTACCTCCAAGATCTCGGCAGTCAGGCGCTCGAGCACTGTGTCCGGGTAGACAGGAATGCATCCATGGCACCTCCTTTTCAACTCATTTGAGATTTGGGGCTGTAGTTGAGGTATTATTTGAGCTGCATATTATTTCATGTGTGTACTCCTGTATATCAGTGTCCTGAAAATTCATTATTGTAAGGACAGAGTAGTAGTTAAAAGTACTAGTCTCAGCCATAGTAGTTAAAACATCTATAAACTTTGATCAAAAATTCCCTGACATTTTGTAACTTGGTTAAGTGTCCAGGCAGTAAAATGTAAATCAGGCAGACCACATGACACAAAACTCTAATCACCTTGGCATTTTCAGACCGCAACAAAATAACATAATAATTCCGTTAATACTCGGTTTTGCATTATCTATGTTTTTGTACATTTAATAAATAATACATAACATTTATCTACAACGCATTTGTCATTTAACAATTTAACAACCAAATCCTCTGAGTCTTCAAAAGAAATCTTTAGTATTCTTCATTTGGCTAAACTGAAATCACAGATAATCTTTTCAACTGATTCTCTTGCAGTAACTTTTTAAACCAAATGAAGTTGTAAGAAAATATTATATATATAAAAAAAAACCTCAAGTCTTAGTTCAATTCTTTTAATCCATTTCATTTTCTCACATTTCTTTTAAACAGAAGTAAAAATTAATCTACGTTCATCTAAAACCTACAACAAAACTATATATTTTTAAATATTGTAGGGATTTTTAAGCTCTTCATAAACTGTATTAGATGACATTTTTAATCTTTAAATCATACATGGGGAGTTTAAAACGCACTTTTATGTTTTAGAATACCACAAATCGTTGATGCCCATGCTTCACACGACCAGTATAATTATCTGGTGATGCTTTAATGGTGACGTTAGAGTCACGGTGAGATTACAGATTTACTTCAATAACTGGTTTGATTAGAACTTGTAGTTTAAAATGATAAAAAAAACTGAACTTTATATAGTTTCCGATGATGACCATTAATATATGTGAACCAAGAGTAGATGTGTAACATGCACTTAAAGTTTCAAAACATTAAGAACTGATGTCTATTTTATTCCTAATTGTATGTAAATTATGAAACGTGCATCTGTTTAGTTACAATGTTTCATAATTTATGAAGTATGCTACAATATAATATTGTAAGAACTGTCACATTTCTGAAGTTTTATGTGTTCTAACTAAATTTGGAAATGAAGTACTGATATTTTCTTTTAACGGCACAAACACTTCCAATTTTTGGAAAGGGCCATTTAAACCATTGCAGATAACAAAGCAAACATTTTGATTTTCTTGGGAGTGAATAATTTGCTAAATTAGGGACCGTTGGACGACAATGCTTTAGGTCTTTTTAGAAGTTTTAATATTTAGACATCAGCTTGTTTTCCATCTCTTACCCAGCAAGCCGTGACAGTTGTGTGAAAGTCCTGTGCTGTTGCCGATGTAGAACCCCAGATGGTCTTTCTGGTAAGGAGCTGGGTTTTTGTACTGATGCAGCAGGATGATGAAGGTGATGTTCCCTCCCACGGTCACGGTCACGTTCGACTTTCCCACGATGGCCACGGACAGCACGCCGCTGTCCACAGTCACGGTGGAATGGCAGGGCAGGACGAAGCGGTCCCGTCCATCCAGGATGACTTTCTTCGGCGTCACCTCAATGTAAGCGCGTTTCGGATGGTCCACCACGATGGTGATGGTGCTGAAGTATGTGCGCTGCTGCTTGTGACTGCCTGGTGGAGCTGGGGCGCCTATCAGCTTACCGTTAACTGTCACACCTGGCAACCCACACAAAATGAAAACATACGGTATTTGTTACTTGTATATTAGTATTTGTACTAGTACAATTAGCACTCTTGTTGATAAGTCACTGGAGGCTTTGCCGCCTTCATTCAACACCATGATGGTCAATTATACTGTTGAGATCATACATGGATTAGAAAAACAAAAATAGTCACCCTTTTGCCTGTTTATGTGTAAAATTAGTATTTTGAACTTGAAAAGTAAAAAAAAAAAAAAAAAAACTTATTTGTCTTTAATTAGCATCATGAGGCTTACCAGAGTACTTGTGGTCAGAAACCAGGCGGAGAACGTGCCCAGGCTCACCGTTGATGTTAAAGCACACGGTTAGCTTACTGAGAGGAAACTCCACCACAAAGTGAGGGTCACCATCCGCTACAAGACAGTGACAGGGTATGATCAAAAGATTAGATCACCAAGACACTACAAACAATTGTAGGCAATCCAGACAGAAATTTAAAGCTAATAATAATAATACAAGTTTGTTTTAAACTGGATATGATGCAGAAAATATGCAGTTTAAAATGCCTGAAGTCCAACATGCTATGCAGTTGTTAGCATTGATTTAACTTTTTATTTATAATGATTCATAGAGTTTGGTTTTAACTGCCAAAAACTATTTATGACCTTGACTATTCTGATTAACAAAAGGTCAAGAAGCTCAGGAAAAGAACACAGTCTTACAAAACAGGGTACTAATAAAATATTATAGGTCAACACATAGGAAAAAAATGGAAAAGAAAACAATGTTTGAATAAAGCAGAAAATAATAGCTGAATATTGCTGGATTGAATGCAGCATTTTATAGCAGGCCTGTCTTCATTTTTTTCATTTATATTCTTGTAATTATGAGTGTTTTATAATATTGTGCTCAAGACTATTCTTAAAATTAAAGAATGGGCTCAAAAATGATAATTCAGCTACCACAGAATCTAAAATCATTTTATCGTCATTTAAGATAGTTTCAAATAGTTTCTGATCTCAATGTTATTTAAACAGTAAATATAAACTGTTTGTTCATGTCAGTAAAAATACTGATAAATATAATTTAAGATTAAATGTATTGAAAAGAAAATAATTTTCTTTGTTAGCCAGCGTTAATTGAAAAACAAATGGCATAGCTCAGTTATTTTATGCTTCTCAACATAAAATTATTTGGACAAATTTTAAAACAGGTGTCCGAGTATCAGTTCCATAATTCTGAAAATGCCTAATACTAGAGGGCCCTAAAAGATTAGACAGTCAATCTTTAAAAAAAAAAAAAAGACTAAACAAAGCTGTTCAAAATGTGAAACACATTATCAGGAAGCAAACCGTTCATCTAATAAGGTAATAATTCACAAAAATTGGTGTAGCTTATATAATTAAAAAGCATCCTTCATTGGTCATTACAGCTAGAAAAACAAATAACAAAAAAAAATCATAAATCCTACAGATTAAAGATGTTCAGGACACATTTTTGGAATGATTAAATGATTAAAGTTTCTTGCATCCACTACATTGAATCAAAGTTTCATATATATATTTATTTATTTTCCCAGAAGTTTGAAAAACAATCGTTAGTAACTTGCACTATTTCATTTAATCATAAAGTCTGCATCATTTAGATACTTCCTGTTAGTGCAGCGACCACACTGAGCACTTGGTGTGGTTACGGGGCTACAAACTGCTGTGCTGACCTTCAGCTTTGAAATAGTTGCCAGGTCTCCACAAGCCCAATTGGGTTTGGAGCTGTCATTTTTTTCAGTAATTGTAATGTTTTTCTAATTGTATGTACTTTAAGAATCAACATTGTTTTTTGTTTTTACAGCACGTATGCAAAACTCTACGCTGTAGTTTTCATCAGAAAACAAAGTATCATCAGCATATTGTAACACAGCACTTGCTTAATTTCTGTTCTCTGGGACAGTTCAACCCTTTAGCTGGAGCTCCCTCAGGCATTATGAGAATCAACTAAGATGCACAAAGGAACAATAAGATTATAGAGCAACTCTAATGACAGGGTTATTACCTCTCAGTAACTGCTTTTGATGATTCCCTGTCTTTACAGTATCACATACACAAACATCCAGGTCTCTGTCTCATTAGTATCTGTGTTCATGAGTGTTTAAAGTGTCACTCAGTGCTTCCTGGTATTTCATTTAGTCTGTTCAGAGCGATGCTCAGAGGAATCTCCAAGTCTCTGATCACTGAAGACTGTCTGACATGATCTAAATTACAGGCTGCCCACACAGACAGCCCAGACTGTACATCCCCTCTTCTCCTCTCTTAGATTTTACTATGAAGTCTTTAAAGATCTCCATGTAAACTAACAGGTTACGTAACGATCTGTTGTAACAGGTTGGAGAAAACCTATTTGCACAGGCAAGATGACGAGTTACCTGATGTTTTGGAGATCATGATGGGTTTCTTGGCTGGTCTCCTCTCAACCTTATCTGCAAAAACAGTAGTAATTATCTGCAGAAATTAGCCTTTGGAGTTAAGTTGTTAAAAACAAACCAATGGAACGCCATTTCCCTATAAAGAAAATGATATGTTTTCTGAAGGGAAATTTGTAATAGTATCTACTTTTCAGGGCTTAAGATGTTGATGATGTAACAGTAATATATAATAATTGACAAAGATGTCTAAGCCAGGGGTATAGGTGATATATCACTGTGCTGCAACGGTTGGAGACTAATTGGCAACTCAAAAATGTGAGAAAATGGGCAATTCTTTAGTTGCAATGTCACTGAGTACACTTGGCAATTGTTTCTTGGGATTTTTTTTCTTCTTCCAGTACATATTCATATTATGAATAAAGATTTTGGTCCATTATCAATAAGTGAAAATGTGTAAAGTTAACTGAAGACACATCTACCGCTAGTGAAACCACTTGGATGTTCTGGGCATCTTAGCATCTTAAAGTCAATGTCATTTAGCAGCTTTCTGCTGCAAAGGAATCATTCTAAAGTAGCTAGTGTAAAAAAGAAAGTCTTGATGCATGCTCAATAATCCAGATAGAATAATCTAACAAGGTTAGGTGATGGATTATTATTCAAATCCATCCAGAGGACCTGACTTAACCTTGTTAGATAAAAACAAAAGGTTTTCCATTTTTTCCAACAGTATTAGCAGAATTAACAAAAACAAACATTATTTTATATAGTTAAAGGGCATTGACTTTAGAGAAACAGAAGATTTCCTATCATTTTGTTAATTTGGGGATTTTTCATGTCCCAAATTGATGTACCTTTAGTTAAGGTACTAATGACGCATCTCATTTTCCTTGGAAATCAGATCTGGGAAAAAGGCCACAGCAAACCATGCCATGTTTCATTTGCAAGAAAAAAATAGAGTGTGCTGTTTGATGTGCTCATTAACCAGGTGAGACAATAATAGCAATACAAGCTTATAACACTATATTCACATTAAATTAAATGCATAAAACACTGTTGTGACATTTTCACTACCTAAAAATCTGGCAGTATCATGCGTGACAACTCCAACTTTAGAGTACAAATGCATCTCCAGTTACATGAGTGGACGATAAAGAAATATGATTATCATATAGAAGAGTTATATCAATATATGGGAAGAGGGTTTGATATTAAAACAAGTTTAAAAAATGCTTTACAGTTTAATCATCCTGTAAAACTAAACCTCAGGAAAACACACACCTATTATGTTGCTCAGAGATGAAATCTGACTTTTCTGATTCCCTTTGAGTTTCTGTGGTTTTTCCTCATCTGCGTCGCCTGGCAGGTCATTGATAGGTGATGCAGCCTCGTCAACTGCCGGTGTGATGGTGGGTGCTGGTGCCATGGAGCCATCAGCCAGAACCTCTGGCTTCTCTACCACCATGTTGGTGAGTGGAGTTAGGAAGTGATACGTCACTGACAGGTTGGCAGCCTGTTGGGTGTGATCTTCTCTCTCCTTGCTAGTTTGGCTGCGCAGCCTTGAACGAAGACCCTCCTTAACACTTAAGAAGGCCCAGATGCGTTCAACAAAGTTTTCTGCAATTGAACCAAGAGGGTCCCACAGTTCCTGTATGACCACTGACCCTAGGGTCCTGACTCCAGCTGCCATTGCAGCAGTAGCTGCCTTCACGTGTTTCTCGGTTTCTATCTGCAGATGCCGCAGTGGTACATCCATCTCCAGGATGATGTTCCTGTCATTGTTGCTGGCAGTAACCTGAACATGGAGTGATTCTGCACTTTGGTTTGTGAGCTTGCCAGAGATGACAATCTCGGAGCCGTTGAAGTAGTTGGTGAAAAGATTCTGAGTGACGTAATCGACTGAGTTCTCTGTGTAGTTGATTCTGATGTCAGACAGAAGAGGTGTTCCTATCTCATCATAGAACCTGGAAAGGAACACAAATACATTTTAGACTGCAACTTCAGTTTTCCTGCAGTTCCGTCAATGGATAGTCTCATACCAATATCAGCTAGGTATCCCAATCAAAGCATTTTTTTTAAATTGGTATCTCACTCACACATAGTGCCAATTTACATTTGTCAATTTTGCCAACATGTATGCTTTTTGGACGCTAGGAAGAAACTGAAGTAACCAAAGAAAACGCACAGATGCAAGGAGAGCATGCAAACGATACACAGAAAGACAGCAGCTGAGTTTTGAACCTGCAGCTTTCTTGCTTTGAGGATACAGCGCTAACCATTGTGTTGCCATGTGACCTGGTAGTAACGGAGCTTCTTTCAATACCAACAATTTAATTAGACATTTAAAATCCAAACACTCGGCTGAGTAAGCAGAGTTCTCCAAGTTAACTCTTAAAGCTAACACGGCTAAGCAACATGCTTTACAGAAAACTATAACTATAACAGACAAGTGTTATAAAGGATAGCAGAACAGGTGGCTGAATTTATTGCTCTGGATGGCCAACCCATTGCTGTGGTGGATACAACAGTGTTGCCTCTTGGAGTAGTTGGAGCCATGGTACATCCCATCCTCTTGAAAATACATAATCAACACAGCACCACCAGAGATATGGTTTGCCATCACCTGGTATATTTTCCCTCTGTCAATCACAAAAAAAAACCAAAAAAAAACTACAACATATGGAGCAATATCAACGCAGTTTCTTTGCTATCAAGCACAGATCTAATCTACAAGTTTGAGCTATAAAAATACAAAATAATGCAACTGATTGAGACTCTATTGACTGTATAATCTTAAACAACTTGGATTGGCATTGGAGACAAATCTGGGACACTTCTCTAATTCTTTCAGAAGTGTGCAGGTCAAATTTACCTTAGACAATTATGATAGAGCTAAAACAGACTCTTTGTCTCTCTAGATTCTACATTTATTGAGTATTTTCCTTTATGGTGTCTCTTCTGAATCTGGAAATTCTGCTCTGCCAGCTCCTGCTCCCATAGTCAGACTCTCCTTAGCTACACATGTGAACCTGCGACTTGATGAGCATGAGTATACGAGGCCTCAGAAGACACTCAGCCAGCACTGGAGCATTACCTGCCAATGGTAGTCTTGTTCTAGATGTCTACTTGTGGTCAAAGCTAATGCTTTTTTTTTTTCCCATTGATGTCCTGTTTTCCTGAATCCTCCTCTGCAGATCTCAAGCTCCTCTGTGCCTCATCAGCTGCCTCCACCCCTTCCTAACAACTTTTACCACACCTCCTTTGCCTGAACTCTTTTGGGTCAGCTCTCCCCACGCCTGACCTCAACCACCAACATAATAAAGAACTGCATTATATTATCTCCCTGGAAGTCCAAGACTCTAACTAGGCCTGTCACAATAAACAATAAATCAATTAATCGCATGATAAATCAAAATAATTAACCTCACTTTCATTTATCAGCTTCATCGTTTCTCCCTCCCATTTTTCTTAAAGAGACACGCTGCTCGCTCCCTCACTATCCATCCTTCAGTTCAGTCTTATACTGCCATCCAGTGGTCAAAAAAGGTACTAGACACAAAAATTAACCAAAATTTCTTCGTAAATTTAACAGTTATTAATTATTGTCAAATTTCAAACAATATTATCGTTTATCGCAATAATTTCTACAACAATTAATCGCCCAGCAACATTTGTTATCGTGACAAGCCTAACTCTAACCCTCTCTCTGCTCGTCAGGGTTCCAGTCCTTCTCCTGGCCCATTTCATATAGCTCGCCTTGTAAATAAACACTATAAACCGATTCTGAGTCTTGGTCTCTGTTCTCGTTGGTCCTTATATCTGGGTATATAGTAGTCGCAATCGTCACACTGAACTGGCTACAGTCACATGAAGGAAAAGGCACAAACATAACGTAACTGTCAGCAAAGATATTACAATTAAGTCGGATTTTTCTAAATTCATTTGTATCCAAAAAAGGTTGAGGTTAAAAAAAGACGGCTTTGGCCTAATAACTATCATCAATATATCCTTCAAGAAGCCTGAAACATTGACTGTGATTGCCAAAGCTAATGTCAATAAACAGTTTCTAGATTGCTTCTAAAATGGACTTGTATACTTTTAAAAAGGGCACCACTTCATAGTTTGTGCACTCTTTCATGAATGAGTAAACCTGTATTAAAGGGTATGTCCCTTCCTTGTTGTCACAGCATTATAAACAGCTCACCTGTTACCTGGCCTGTTTGTTCTAGCTGGACCTGTCCAACGATCGCACAGTCTATCCGTTAACCCCAAGTACACACTTAGATGCAGGTTTCACGACATACACATTCACACACACATTCTTGTGCAACTGAACAAACACCTGTCTGGCTGCAGAAGACTGAGACAAGGGGGGTTGTGTGTAGAGGGCAAAGAAAAAAGGATCCGAGGGAGAAAGAGGGCGGCTGTTGTGGTCTGTGGCTGTCTCTTGTTTAAGTTGATTACAGAGGCCTGTTGTCAGCACCGTCACATTTGTAGTCTGCGTTCTCTCAAGTTGATGAGAGATGGATGGATGAGAGAGAGTGAGAAGGGAAAAATTAAGAACTAATCGCCTATTTAAAGACAGATTATACACATAGAAATGGGAAACATATATGGCTCTTATTGGTTACAGTTTATGAGGTTAATAACTGATTTTTTAAAATATTTTTAATGTAAAGAAATAAATACACATTAATATATATTTTCTCTTTTTGTAGATAATGGATTTATTTTATTTTTTATTTTTTTTGCTGAAACAAGAATACCTAAACCAATAGTATGCAATAGAATATGGAAACAAGATTTATGGCAACTGCACAAATTTTGACATGCCCATATACAATATAAAAATTATGAATCTGTTAAAATTAAACAAATAGTAATTTAAAACATGACATCAGAATACAGAGAAGAACTTCATCCATCCAATTATCTTTACCCGCTTATTCCATTTTGGGTCACGGGGGTCGCTGGTGCCCATGTCCAGCAATCACTGTGCGAGGGGCGGGGTACACCCTGGACGGGTCGCAAGTCCATCGCAGGGACACATAGAGACAAACGAGACAAACAACCATTCGCTCTCTCACTCACACCTAGAGTTACCAATCAGCCTAACATGCATGTTTTTGGTCTGTGGGAGGAAACCGGAGTACCCGGAGAAAACCCACGCATGCACGGAGAGAACATGCAAACTCCACCCAGAAAGGCCCCCGGACCGGGGTTTGAACCAGGGACCTGCTCGCTGAGAGGCAGCAGCTCTACCAGTTGCGCCACCGTGCTGCCTGAGAAGAACTTTGTTCGACTAAATATTTTCCCGAAACTTTTGTTTTTCTGCTACTATTCAGAGTGTCCTCTGAATTAATAACTCTTTTAGCACATATTTAATGTTTAAAAGCAAAACGATTAGGATAAAACTAGACAAATAAACACAAACGGCACTAATGTTTGGGTTCTAGGGCACCAAGTGATTGTGGGCAGCAAAAGAAATTGGCTGCAAAGTTGTTGTTTTTTTCTGAAATGGATGGATGGATGGATGCAATCTGCTGTCTTCCTTCCTTAGATAAATCATATTAGTAATTTAATGTTATGTGAATGTTTCTGTTCATTGCCCTGAGATGAATTATGTTGTGACTTGATGCTATATAAATAAATTGAACTGAATCAAACTGAACTGAATTGAACTGAACTGAATTAAATTGAACGGAATTTAATTTAATTTAATTTAATTGACGGGATGGATGGCTGGATGAAGGATGGATGGATGGATGGATGGATGGATGGGTGAGTGGTGGGTGAGTGGTTGAATGGATGGATGGGTGGTTGGTTGATTGGATGGATGGATGGATGGTTGAATGTGTGGGTGGGTGGGTGGATGGGTGGTTGGATGGATGATGGATGGGTGGATGGGTGTGTGGATGGATGGATGATGGAGGGATGTATGATGGATGGATGGATGGATGGGTGGGTGGATGATGGATGGATGGGTGAGTGGTGGGTGGTGGGTGGGTGGATGGATGGACAAATGAATGGGTGGGTGGGTGGGTGGGTGGTTGATTGAATGGATGGATGGATGGATGAATGTGTGGGCGGGTGGGTGGTTGGATGGATGATGGATGGGTGTGTGGGTGGATGGATGGATGGATGGATGGATGGGTGGGTGGGTCGTTGGATGGATGGTGGATGGGTAGATGCATGTATGTATGTATGTATGTATGTATACATGTATGTATGTATGTATGTATGTATGTATGTATGTATGTATGTATGTATG